TGTATATTTGACGTATAAATAAATATTTAAAATTTTTACAGCTTTATTTTCATTGCCAACTATCAAAAACTTCTATAAATGTCCTTCAACTAGAGCAAGTATCCTTTAAAACGTGAAATCAGTTATAAAAATCCTTTTAGAAATGAAAAAAATAATAAAAAAAAAATACTAAAAATAATAATCACGTCATTTTATTGCTCTTGAGAAAGTAAGGAGAAATAATGAAGTATGTACAACTATAAAATGCGTCTCAAGGATATTTCCTTAAACATGACATTCAATATACATATTCAATGTCTATGATGACAACTTTTTAAGGAAGTAAGACGCCCCTGTTTAAATATTTAAATAATATATTTTATATATATGAAAAGGAACATTACTAAAGTAACATTTTCCTTCAAGTATTTTTAAAGCCTTTGATACTTAATAAGTTTTCAATGAATTCGATAGATTAAGGTCGCAATATGATAAGATTATTCAACGTAATAATTATGATAGAAAAAACTAAAAACCTTAATTCTTTATAATATAAACTTAAATATTCAAATGTTGATTTAAAGCCCGTGTTTTTTGTTATAAAATAAGATTGATAAACAATTTACAAAATTAAGTATTTGTTTTATACATTGAATAATTATAGTTTATTAAATTTATTTATCTATCTATCTATATATCTATCTATCTATCTATCTATCTATCTATCTATCTATCTATCTATCTATCTATCTATCTATCTATCTATCTATCTATCTATCTATCTATCTATCTATCTATCTATCTCTATTATCTATCTATCTATCTATCTATCTATCTATCTATCTATCTATCTATCTATCTATCTATCTATCTATCTATCTATCTATCTATCTATCTATCTATCTATCTATCTATCTATCTATCTATCTATCTATCTATCTATCTATCTATCTATCTATCTATCTATCTATCTATCTATCTATCTATCTATCTATCTATCTATCTATCTATCTATCTATCTATCTATCTATCTATCTATCTATCTATCTATCTATCTATCTATCTATCTATCTATCTATCTATCTATCTATCTATCTATCTATCTATCTATCTATCTATCTATCTATCTATCTATCTATCTATCTATCTATCTATCTATCTATCTATCTATCTATCTATCTATCTATCTATCTATCTATCTATCTATCTATCTATCTATCTATCTATCTATCTATCTATCTATCTATCTATCTATCTATCTATCTATCTATCTATCTATCTATCTATCTATCTATCTATATCTATCTATCTATCTATCTATCTATCTATCTATCTATCTATCTATCTATCTATCTATCTATCTATCTTATCGATCTATCTATCTATCTATCTATCTATCATCTATCTATCTATCTATCTATCTATCTATCTATCTATCTATCTATCTATCTATCTATCATCGATCTATCTATCTATCTATCTATCATCTATCTATCTATATATCTATCTATCTATCTATCTATCTATCTATCTATCTATCTATCTATCTATCTATCATCTATATATCCATCTGTCTACCTATGATATTAAATGTTTGGATAACAACAGATGTTTCTAGCAATTACATGAGAATGCAGCAAAAATATTTTTTTTTGGTTTAGACAACATCTAAAACTTGTAATAAATTTGACACATTCTAAATTTACAGTTACCTATTAAAGCCACACGTGCATAAAACAAAACATTTTGAAAAAAGTTTAAGCAAAAGTCTATGACTTTCCCGCCATTTTCTTATAAAATGTCAATTATAGAGGACAAACGTGATAGATAGAAATATCAAGCAATTTGTAGGTCTATATCACAAAATCGTCATGATTAAAAATAGAAATAAACATAAAAATATAAATTACTTTTAAAAGAAAACACATTCAATTCTGGCAGCAATTAATTATATTTAAAGTAAGAAAAACAAACAATAAGTAAATTTAGTTGAAAGGAATAATATCTAAAGATCAACAAAACATTTTTAACGACAAAAGACAATTGCCAAAATAATTAAAAACAAAATAATACCTACGACTATGGCTGATTAAAGAATGAAATGTAAATCGAGCAAGGTCCAAGTCAACGATGGCAAATATTTTGTTGACAGCGCCACCTTGGCTGGTGGCACTAACGAAATAATAATGTAATTAGTTGAATAAAATAGAAAATGTTTTTTGTTTATATTGTATTCGCTCTATTCGGTGTTGATTGATCGATAATTTTTTTTTTTTTTTTTTTGAAAAATAAGAAATTAAAATATTTAATTGAATAATAAATCAAAATTTCTAAGATCAAGATCATTAAAACGATTGTTTACTTTTGTTGAATTAAGGCTTTTAAAAATATATTTTTTATCTCCTAATACTACAAATTACACTTGTCAATTTTATATCTTAAATATTAATGCTCAAAATTAGTCCAATGTATTTTTATTTTAAACTTCACCTTGAAATGTTTGTAGAAATTTTAATATGGGTGTTTTTAAGGTATTAATATCACAATATTGATAAATGCGTTACTTAGTGAAATAGAAAAACAAACGTCAAATTTTGTAAGAAATGTTAAATACTATCAAAACCAAAAATATTGTAGGTAAATACTAAGATGAACTAAAAAAATTTATGTAATTTTACTTAATTATTCATTTGTTTAAAATTTTATTAAATTAAACTATAAAACCCAGTAGAAGAACTTGCTATTTGAATCTATTATATTTATTTTAGTTGAAATTCATTTTTCCTAAAATTCAAAATATATTTGAAACGTGGTTTTCTTTTTAATTTGTAATTCAATGCTAATTATTTAAGTTTCTCATTATTGTACAATTAATTAGTGTACCTGAGTTAATATTACTAAACACAAACAATTAGACAGGTGTATTTTAGACTGTGGTATAAAAATAAAGTATAAATCTCTGTGTATTTCTTAGACCAAACATTAAAATCTTTTATAAATCTCTTAATTCCTTTACAAATTCTCCTCTATACCTATTTCTAACCAATTCTTCTAAAACGCTACTAAACAATTTCCTTCTTAGAACGATTTTAATATAGCTCGAGAATCTGCTTTTAATATCAGGTATAACTTTAGCAATTGTACTCTTTCTTCCTGCAGTATTTCTGATTCTATATTAGGCAACAGCAGCATGATTTCTGAATGCCTAAATCTAAAAAGTCTTCCAAAACTTCCGTTGTTCTCTCTTTGATGGTTTTTATTAAGAAATATGTTATGATTTTAATTTGGGAAATAATTAAGTTCCCAGGAAACCACAAATCGAATATATTTTCTTTCTATCCCACATGCCAATGACTAACTTACTAAGTATGCTTTTCATTCAAATGTTTTTAATTAGGAACAAAAGTCTCCAGGCTTGTCCTATCGAAAACTCTTTGAATCTTCTTCTACTCTTTCTACTGGGTTTTCTTCAATACATAAAATATTAAAATAAATATAATCATAACATACCTGTTGTAAAAATTCGGCATAAACAACTCTAATTCCAAAATTTAAAACAAAAGTTTTATTTTACTTCGTGTAAAATAACACCACGGTGCAAAACGATTTTTTTCTTTTGTTTTTATTTTCAATTTGTTGTTGTTATAAATAATAGTTTGTTGTTTTTGTAAAAAGTATGTAAATGGAGAGAAAAAGCAGTAAAACACAAAACAATTGCCGAAAAAATAAAAATAAACACAAGCAGCAACAACAATAATCAAAATTTTTTACTAAGAACTTTTTTATTTGTTGTTGTTGTTATAATAAAAAGAGGCTTCTATTTTATTCCTCTTTTATTTTTTGTTGTTGTTGTTATTGTAACAATGGAAATTTTAAATAATATGGATAAATTTTTTTTGTTTTACAGGCAACAAACATCAATCACACAGACCACAATTTATTTTTAATCTATTTATAAAAACCAATTTCTTTTCAATTTCCGTAATTAATCATATATGTTAAAATGGTTGTTCACTCTTTAGAGGTTTATTTATTTACTTAAAAATATCAAAATTTTTATTTTCAACCTCACACTTCATTGGCTGTAAAAGCTATTAATTGGCGTTTTGATTGTATGTACGTATTTCTTTTTTTTTTTTCGATTATTTAATGATGGAATTTTTATATTTATGTATTGAAGAAATTCTCTTATATTTTTTATTCTTACTCAACTTTTTTTATTCTTTTTAATAATATACGCTTATTTCTTTAAAATGGATTTTTTTATTGGTTAAATATTTGATTTTATTTTGCAATTTCTTTTTTTATTTTCTCTATTAATTTTTCACTATTATAGAGCACATTTTCACCAAAACATTTTAGGAAAATAGCAAATTAAAGACTGATGTTTAAATGTCATCGCAAATTTCTTTTTTACTTCTCCTTCCTATTTATCGAATTTTTGCTTTTGCTCATTTCTTCTTCATATTTTAAACAGATGATTGATTGCCAGCCTTGTCAATGTTTTAAACATTAAAAAGCACTAAATAGAGAAAAATTTACAAACAATATTACTTTAAGAGGTTTGTAGGAAACCAAACATATCATCAATTTTAACAAATTTCATAAAATATGGAACCAATTTTATTGTCTAGATCATTTTTTGTTATTAAAATATTGTTAATATTATAATAATATATCTTCACTTTAAAGTTTCTTTAAGTTACAAAAAGCACTGTGTTGGTAACACTTATAATTGCCATCTATAGTAGGTATAGATTTTCATAATATTAAGCTTTTGTATATATTTCAGTAGGATTTGTAAAATGTAAACAAAAAATAATTACATTTCTAATTTTATCGTAGACTTTATTTTCTGTGATTTTGTATCTTAAAAAGTGATTAGTATTAAAAAATAGAGGTCTATAATTCTGGAAAATATTAAGTTCTTGCAAATAGTAGAAAAATGTTCCCCCAGAATGTCTGAAAAAAGTGATCTCGACCGGCAATTAAAATAGTAATTACACAGGCCAACGAAATTTGAATACAGTCGATTTCCTGAGACCAAAACATTCACTTCTAAAGGATTGAGATGCGCTGATTGTGAATCTGGCCTTATAATTTCTTCATTACTTGTTTTCAAGATATTTGAACCCAAAATGATGTTATATTTATAAAATCTGTTATCTGAAAGTCCAATTCGTTGACTTTAAAATAAAGGCTTAACATTTTTCAATTATTTAACCTTCTTCTTAATCTTAAACTGATCATTTCTCTGTCAATATGCTAATGTTCGATATCTCTATTTTTAGTTTGAATCAGTAGATGTTTAGTAAATAAATAATGGATTGCGACTTAAATTTTTCATAGAAATCAATATGTTATAGAAAATTTCCTGCAAGAAGCAAAAATACAAAAATATTACATTTACTAAAAATATTAACGAACAATGCTAATATTAATATCTGTTTTTGTCGGTTTATCAATAAATAGTTTATTCCAATTGATTATCAAACAACAAAATCCTAAAACACTTTAAACTATTTGTAAATTTATATATAAAGCACTTACATAATTTTTTTTAGTTACAATCTAACATTTATAGTAAAAAGACTTAATTAAATAAATAGAACATTTTATTTATAGAGTGTGAAACCCTTAAAGAAACATGTCCGAACTACCCAGTGATCTTAACCAGTTATTTAAGTAAGTAGCATGAAATTGTTTAGAATAATATTTAATGTAATAAAGAAATTAATAAAATTTATATTATTTTAAAACTTAAGATAATAAAAAATAGCAATACAATAAAACATTCAAGTACGTACTAGTCCAGCTCCAGATATAATTTTTTATTACAGTTTTATAGATGATCATAAATCGAAATATATTGATGCCTTAAGAACTGCTGTAGCCATACCATCTGTTTCGGTATGGCCTGAAAAACGTGAAGAAGTTGAACGTATGGTAAGATGGACTGAAGATAAATTGAAAGAATTAGGAGCTGAAACCAGATTGGCTGATATTGGTAAAGAAACCTTAGCTAATGGAGAAGAAATTCCATTACCTAAAGTATTATTGGCCACAATAGGAAAGGTATAATTTAAAATATTATTACAGTTATACCATTTCTAAATTGAATTTCTTTATAGGATACAAACAAAAATACAGTTTTGATTTATGGTCACTTGGATGTTCAACCCGCACTTAAAGAAGACGGCTGGGCCACCGAACCCTTCGAACTAACCGAAATAGATGGCAAATTATGGGGTCGTGGTTCGACTGATGACAAAGGTCCCGTTCTTTGTTGGATACATGCCATCGAAGCGTATCAAAAGTTAAATATTGATTTACCAGTTAATGTTAAATTTGTTTTGGAGGGAATGGAGGAGAGTGATAGTGAAGGTTTAGATGAGCTGCTTATGAGTCTTAAAAATGATTTTCTGCATGATGTTGATTACGTTTGCATTTCGGATAATTATTGGTTAGGCAAAACAAAACCCTGTCTCACCTATGGTCTACGTGGTTTGGTCTACTACTACATTGAAATTGAATGTGCTCAAAAGGATTTACATAGTGGTGTATTTGGTGGTACTGTACATGAGGCTATGCCTGATTTGTGTTGGCTTTTAAGTACTTTAGTGGATAAAGATACTAAGATTCTAATACCGGGTATAGAAAGAGATGTAAGTAGGATATTGGTTGGTATTACTTGTTGGATATGGATTTAATTGTTATTTGTTTTTGATAGATTGTTCCTTTGTTACACAATGAACTGGAAATTTATGACAAAATTGATTTTGATGTCGAAGAATATAAGTAAGTACTGCTTTTGATTATTTTAGTTTAAACAATATCTTTCGAGAGGCAATACGTTCAATCTATTGGCACTGAAACTGGTTCACTAATTTTTCAAAAACTTAATTTGAAACTATATGCATTGTTTTAGAAAAGATGTCGGTTCCACTAGTTTGCCTCACAACGAGAACAAATCTCAATTGTTAATGCACAGATGGCGTTATCCCTCTTTATCGATACACGGCATTGAAGGTGCCTTCTCAGAGGCCGGTGCTAAAACGGTTATACCTGCCAAAGTTATAGGTAAATTCTCCATACGTTTAGTAGACAATCAGGATCCCGATCATGTAACCGAATGTGTTCTTAAATATCTAAATGAGAAATGGACAGAACGTGGTTCACCCAATAAAATGAATGTGAAATTAATCAATTCTGCTAAATCATGGTCTGGAGATCCAAATCATCCTCATTATGAAGCTGCTAAACGAGCAACCAAACATGTCTTCCATGTTGAGCCTGATATGACACGTGAAGGCGGTTCTATACCCATAACTTTGACGTTGCAAGAGGCAACAGGAAAAAGTGTTATTCTAGTGCCGGTGGGAGCCAGTGATGATGGTGCCCACTCCCAAAAGGAAAAGATTGATATTTATAATTACATTGAAGGGGTAAGTTTATTTATTACTTTGGATATAATTGATGCTGACAGATATTTTATTTTATTTACAGACTAAACTCCTGGGG